ACGGGTGCAAATACCTCATCATAGTCAATTCTGGGCTTTTGGTTGTACCCCTTGGCGACCAATCTTGCTTTATATATTTCAACTTCACCATTTGCATTCTTTTTTGCCTTATACACCCATTTGACACCAATTGCCTTTTGTTCTTTTGGAAGTATAGCAAGCTCCCATGTGTTATTCTTCTCTATGGATTTAATTTCTTCATCCATAGCATTTCACCATTTTTTGTCTTGTGCCGCCTCTTCAAATCCTACGGGTTCACAATCCGCAAAGAGACAAAAAAGTGTTAGATCACCTAACATTTCCGTTACCTCATCTGTTTCATCATATATGTCATGAAGACTCCTCATGCAAAGTGGTGGTGTGTCACTTGAACTTGATGATGATGGAGTTGATTGATCTTGAATTGATGGTGGTGGAGGTGATGTTGGTGGAAAAATGGGCTGCTCCATGCCTTCATTTTCTTGCTCCTCGTTAGAAATTGGAAAAATATTATAATCTTCATTTGGAGTGTTCCAATCCCATGTGGCTCCTTATTCGAATTCAACATCTCTACTAATGACAATCTTCCCATTGTTTGGATTGTACAACTTGTAGCCTTTGGAACTTGCATCATAGCGAATGAACACCATTTTTTCACTTTTGTTGTCTAACTTAGTCCTCCTTTCATCCGGCATGTGCACATGGGCAATGCTCCCAAAAACCCGCAAAAGAGAGACACTTGGCTTTCTTCCGTTCCATGTTTCTTGTGGTGTTTTGTTTTGCACACTTCTAGTAGGACACCGGTTGGACAAGTACACCGCGCAATCAACCGCTTCAGCCCAAAATTATTTAGGCATTTCCTTGCTTTTCAACATGCTTCGAGCCATATTGAGAATGGTTCTGTTCTTCCTTTCTACAACTCCATTTTGTTGGGGCGATCTCAGAACCGTTAAAGGATGGTGAATTCCATTTTATTCACAAAATTTTTTGAAATTATTTGATGTGAATTCACCACCTCTATCGGATCTAAGAGCCTTTACATCATAGCCACTTTGTTTTTCAACAAGTGCTTTAAATTTTGTTAAAAATTCCATACACCTCCGATTTTTGTTTAAGAAAATACACCCATGTTTTTCAGCTAAAATCATTAATAAATAATAAAAAAATAATTATTCTTACCAAATAATGATGGAGAAATTGGACCACAAACATCCGAATGGATAAGTTATAGTGGATCCGTAGCTCTTGTGGTAGCTTCTTTAGAAAAACTTTTCCTTGATTGCTTTCCAACGAGTCATCCTTCACACAATTGATTTGGATTGCTAATGAAAGACATTCCCTTTACCATCTTCTTTTTGGCCAATAACTCTAATCCTCCAAAATTCAAGTGCCCAAGTCTCAAGTGTCAAAGCCAAGTTAAGTCATTAAAACAAGCCTTTAAACATTTAACCTCGTCGGCTTGAATATTTAGCAAAAACATCCAGTTCTTTGTCATTAGAACCTTGGCAATCAAATTACCCAATGGGTCTCTTATCGAAAGACTATAATCCTTCATGGAAATATTGTAGCATTTTTCTAAGAGTTGTCCCAAACTCAAAATATTGTTCTTCATATTAGGCACATAATAAACATTAGAGATAAATTGATGATGCCCATTCCTCAAACGAATCAATATTTTACCTTTCCCTCTTATCGAAATTTGTGATAAGTCTTCAAATGTCACCTTGCCATTTATTGATTCATCAATATCAACAAACTTCTCTTTGCTACCACATATATGGTTGCTAGCACCGGTGTCAAGATACTACACATCTTCTTGATCACTCCTTTCACCTTTGTATGCCAACAACAAAGTTGGCTTCATTTCTTCATCAACAAAATTAGCCTTTTCTTCAACATCGTTATCAACATTTCTACATTCCGAAGCATAATGACCATACTTTTGACAATTGTAATATTGAATTTGAGACTTATCATACCTCCTTCCATATGACCTTGAGTAATTTCCTCTACCACGACCTCTTATTTGTTGTGAGTCATGGACTTTTTCTTCATTGTTGGTTGCGTGTTAATCGCTTCTTTCTCTTCTTCCACGGCTTCTTCCTCTTCCTCGGCCACGTGCATTTCCACGTCCTCGGCCCCTTTGATTTCCTCCACGTTTTTCGTCTCTTTCGTTCAACGAAAACTTTGTTTGTAGCACTTGCTCCAAAGCTTCTTATTTCTTCACCACATTTTCTTCATGAGCTTGCAACGAACCCATGAGTTGATCAACAATCATGGAATCCAAATCCTTTGACTCTTCAATGGCTACAACAATGTAGTTGAATTTGGAATCCAACGACCGAAGAATCTTTTCAACGACCCTTGTATCAGTCATGGTGGTTTCGCCATATCTTCTTAGTTGATTTACAATAGTCATGACCCTAAAAAAATAATCTGAAATTGATTCAGATTCTTTCATATGCAATGCTTCATATTCACCCCGTAACATTTGGAGGCGAACCTTCTTCACTTTATCAACTCCTTGGAAGGATTTTAAAGAATCTCCCATAGTTGCTTTGCATTTCCTACACTAGCAACTCTTTATAGCATTCCATCATCCAAACATTGATGGATGGTCATCACTGCCTTTTGGTCCTTCTTTCTCATGACTTGTAAAACATCTTTTTCAGCTTGAGACAAAGTTGCCTCATCTTCTGGCTCATCATAACCTTTGGAAACAACTTCCCACACATCTTGTGCTCCTAAAATTGCTTTCATACGGATACACCAATTTTCATAGTTATCTTTGGTGAATCAAGGCATTTGAAATGGAACCGAATTGTTTGCCATTTCTTCTCTCTCTTACAAACTAGCTTTGATACCACTTTGTTGGAAATAGTGGCCTAGTTACACACACAACACTATATTATTTGGAAGAGAATAAAAATGGAGGAAAACACTTTTTATTTCACTTAATTCAAAATGAGTACAATGCATGGGTTTATATAGGCTTCAAAACATAAATGCAAATGAAAATTAGCACCCCACTAACATATCATTTAGTAGGCAAAACTTCCACTAACCCACTAACATGACCATTACTAGTTATAACTCTCATGCTCCCCACTAACTCTAATAAAAAAACTCACATAAATATAAAACACCAAATAAAAAAATAAAAAAATAAAACACCCATGACCTTCAAAGACATTTTAAAATAAAATAAAGTTTAATTTCTAACAGGCACTTCATAGAGTTTTTATTTTTTATTTGAAATTGGTATTGAATTTTTTTAAAAACAGTTTAAGGTTAAAAAACAAATTTTTTTGTTTATTTTTGTTTAAAATAAGATAAATATTTTTACGTTATCAAATAATATATTTACTTATCAATAAACAAAAACTATATATAAAAATTCATTATATTTAAATTTAAATGATAAACAATAAAAAAAAAAAAAACGAGACCTTAGTTTTTCCCCCTGTCCCCCATATTTAGTTTTGGATCACTTTCAACTTCTCTAAGCATTTTCTTCCATTTGTATTAATTATGTCTTCTCTCTCATATAATATGATAAAAATATGATTAAACTATTCCCACTGCCATAACTACAACTGCAATTTTTAATCATATAATATAATAAACATATGATTACACTATATATCTATGCCATAAAACAAAACATCTCTTTCTTGATGTTGCCACTCGTAGCCATAATTTCCATATCGTTGCCACCAACTATGTATTCTATTATTGTCTAACGAAAACCCAACCATCCATATGTGCCCCAGTACTCTATCACATAAACTATATAATATATATAATACAATTTTTTTATGACATAAGAAACTTAGAGTAGTATCCAACCAAAGGGTGAGATTAGATTGGGTGAAAAGTTTCCTTGTCAATTTCCCCAAGAAAATAAGGAGAAGAAACCTAACCGTTGGGTCAGTTTCCTTGCCATTGGCTCGTTGACAAAGTGTTGGATGTTAGTTTCATGACGACGACTTTGTTTTATTAATGCATGGTTTTATGTTAATTTGAAGGTTTAGCAGTTAATTTCTTGTTACACAAGGAACAAGTCTAACCACTCACAAGAGAAATATGGTCCTGTACTCCTGCTGCTTCTTTCGGGGCATTCAATGGCGGGGAACATAGGAAACATCGACATGAATATATATGTCGACGATGTGACAAAAATATACTAACATGTAAAATTTTATATAAGTTGGACACGTAAATAATGTGGACATGACTAATATTATAAATATAAATATTCATTTATATATCAATTGAATAAGATAATTATAGAGTATAATTAATTTAAAAAATCTATACTAACGCTACATAATTAGAAGTTGAAGTGCACTATAATAACAAGTAATATATCCTATATATATATATATATATATATATATATATATATATATATATATATATAATATGATATTTATTTATTTTTATTTTAAAAAAGAAGTTCTAACACTTTGTATGACTATCATTTTTGTTTTATATAAGACGAGAATATGATGGTTGATCGACTATTTAAAATGTGTTAACTTGGTGTTCAAGATATATTGATCAAGTGTCTAAGATGAACACATTCTATGAACAATTTAGGTTTTCTTTAATTTTTTTGTTTTTTTGTTTTTTAGTTCTCTCTAATATTGATCTTGGAATTGTAAAACGTCTCACTAATCAGATATATTTCTTTTTAGGAGTCACCTTATGAACACAAAATTTGAAGTAGAAGAACACATTCTCTGATCTGAATTAGAACATATGTACACGACTCAAAACTAAACAAAAATTTAAAAACAACCATGATATATATCACAAAAGTATATATATATATATACAAACACACACACACCCCACTTACAAACATAAAGAACGTGTAAATATATGCTATGTTTGTGCATACATGCATGTATATACTATATATGCGTGTACCAATCTACATACAAACCAAGAGGTTATAATTAATCATGAAGCATGCAACTATATCTACACCTCTAAACTAAAAAAACTCCGAAAAATTAACCTAATAAAGACAACTCATGCATGAAAGGTTGATCTTCAAATACTAGTCCATGCCAATATGAAGAATCTGCAGATCCAGCTCCAAGGTTAGCAGCGCCACTGGTAATCGAAATCTCGGTCAGGCCGGGAAGACGATGATCAGCAGAAGAAGTTGGTGATGGAAGAAGAGCCCAGCAAGGGTTTGGGGAGTTAGGGCTGACGACTAGTGCAGAGTTAAAACCTGCAGCTTGGCTCATCATCATTTCATCATCATCACTATTCAAAGGTGTTTGGAAATTACCGAAAGGGACATTTGGATGAATAGGATGGTGGAGCAGTTGAGAGGTAGCAATATTTTCCAAATCTGATGAATTTAAAACGTCGTTTTTTTCTTGGGTAGGCGACATCAAATTCAATGCATTGAAACCCTCCATGTCTGCAATATTGTTGCCATATTGGGTAATATCGTATGGTACTAAATTGGAGGGTGCATCAGATTGGAGAAGATATTGTAAATAGTGATCAAGATTAGCCAATTGAATAGCTTCTGCTTGTAATGTGTGATGGTCCATAAGGTTGTTAGCTAGGGCTAATAGATGAGACAAGCTAGAAAATAGATCAGTTCTTGGACGGTGAGTGGTTGGATCGATACCCATCTGAATCAGCTTCTTCTTCAGATGGGTGTTCCAGAAATTCTTGATTTCATTGTCTGTCCGTCCTGGCAAGCGTGTAGCAATTGCTGACCATCTTGAACACAGAATCAGATTAAAGGTAATCAGTACATACACGAGATATATATATATATATATATATACCAATTACCAACAATATTATATAAAACATATATATGAAATTTCATGGATTTAATTGAGAGAAAGGTTGATATATATAAGTTAATTACTTGTTCCCAAGGATGGAATGGAGATGTAAAATTGCTTGCTCTTCTTCTTCAGAAAATTTCCCCCTCTTGATGTCAGGCCTCAAATAATTTGTCCATCTTAACCTACAACTCTTGCCACATCTGTTAAGGCCTGCACAGAGGGATCAGAATGGAAATAAATAAATAAATTTTGAGGACAACTAATAGTAACATGGAACACCCTTTTTAAATGTATGTGCAGCTGCAATATAGTGTTTTTGTGCATGTGTGTGCAAGTACATAGCATTCATGTGTGTGTGTGTGTATATATATATATAGAGAGAGAGAGAGAGATTCATATATGTGTGTGTGTATTTATGGACCTGCAAGCTTAGGGAGGGCACTCCAACTTCCATGGCCATGTTTTTGGATGTAGTGGACAAGCTTTTGATCTTCTTCGGAAGTCCAAGGTCCTTTTTTGAGGCTATTCTCACCAAAAGATGGTGACCTCATTCTATCTTCTAGATTTCTTTTGGTTTGGGGCCTTTGGATGCTTCTCTATCTGTTACCACATGAACCAGGAGTTGCTACTTATATACACAATCTTTCAGTCTCGCCTCCTCACATAAATTTATTTATTTATTACAACACATCAACATATAATGATTAGCAATTTCTCCCTTGTAATAAGATTTGGCTATTTGCTGTCCTCTCATGAAATGACAAGTATATATCCCCCGTTCATGACACAAACATTTAAAAACCAAAAAAAATTGGGAAGGTAGTCTCTGTTTCGAGTATTATGGTAATGGTCTACTTTATCTCATGGTATGATATTGTCCGTTCTGTTTTGGTTCGAGTTCGCATGATTTTACTCATAGACTTCCAAACAGCCTTAAAGTAATTGGAGATAACACCAACACATATAAATAGGCAATATGAGATTGTACAACATGTATCTCGGTCAATGCTTGTGCAACCTGTAGTCGCCAAGTGTTTATTCACATCCGCCCATATAGGTCGCCTCAATCACCAACCATAGGTGCCGAAAGTACCCGTTGGAAGCACTTTCAGCTAGGGGTGATTGCAACGACCTTGTGAATAAGTGTGTCATGGCCGGAAAGGGGCACTAGCAGGCTATCACACTGGATGAGTTACGGATGCACAATTTCACATTGACTGGGTGTGGAAAGGAAAAGTACTGTATATATTGAATTTGTACACTAATTAGTATAAGGCATTTGGAAGTAAAACTCAAAAATAAAATTGTGCCGGCTCAGATTTACATCAAACAATATATCATATTATGTAGTGGAGGGGGCTTTTACACTTATAAAGTGTTTGTTGAATTTAAAAGATGAAAACCTAACAATACTCAATAGGAGCCTCCTTTCTTCATTGATCCCATGGCACTTGTATGTTTTCCTATAACCGAAACATTTTTGAAACAATCCAATGCAAATAAAGAGTATCTTTTCTAGTGTGAGTTTAGGTTTTTTTTTGTTTTTTTGCCTTCGAGGAATATACCATGCATCTAACCCAAGATTACAACGTACAATAAACCTAAATAAATCAGATATTACTAATTTTATTCCTGTAATTAGCATTGGGCACTAATTATTTTTTGTCATAAAAGACTCGAGATAAGTAATTATCCAATACACATGGCAGATAAACTCATGCAGTTCCTTGTGAAACTTGGTTGGTTAATTTCAGGTACCGATTGATGCATTTCCGTCTTTTGCGCACCATTCACTGCTAAGTCCCCAAGTGTAGCATTCCCGACCTCGGCCATCCCGAACTATCCGATAAAATAAAGTATCTACAACTACCTGAAAGTTCCATTCTCAACATGAAAAATGATATTTGACCCAATGATCAATTAAATCTAAATTACTACCTGTATCGTTAAATATGTTTTAAGTGGGATTTAAGGATATGTATCTTTCTTTCTAAATGTGAATAATTCTTTAAGGGTTATGTCTGGGGTTATAGTCCGAACTTTATCTGAATAATGCGGGGATGCCTTTGCACGAGTCTTATAGATTAGTCTGAACAAAACCCCGAACATTCCAATGATAAGAAATAAAAAAATTACTCCGTAATATGTTCTTCGTGGCCTTGTCAGTTCTGCCCCTAATGGGACTAGTTTAGAATCATTCCAATTAATAGGATTAGGGACAAGTTTAAAAAGAGAGTTTGAAACTCGTCAAGTTCCAAACTTACCTTGATTAATAATAAATATTATTTTGTTAGGTATATTTTTTATTTTTCCTTTATTTGTTATGATCATTTTAAATTTTAACAATATTTTTGTTACTATAATTGTTAAATATTTAACTATACTTAATTTTTTTAATACAAAATTTAAACAAATTAAATTTTGTTAAAAAAATAATACGGGGCGCCTCTGACCCCTCCAACTCCAATGCAAGACGGGTTTAGAAAAAAAAAAAAAAAAAAAAAAAAAAATTATTTGTGGGATGGATTTGAAAAAAATGTGCCCTTCTTGACCCCACTCCATTGATACCCTAGCATGATTCATGTTTATAAAAGTTTTTGGACTTGTAGTTTAGGTAGGGCTATAAATTAATGAATCGAGCTACTCATGAGCAACTTGGGCTCGAGCTTGTTCGTTAAGTAAACGAGTCTAATTCGAGCTTAATTTATAAGTTTGTTTATTAAACATGTCGAGTTCGATCAGTGTTAGGCTCGGCTCGTATAAGCTCATGAACACGAGCTCGTATAGGCTCGTACATTTATGTTCGTGAACATATGCTCATATGAGGCTTGTATACGTTCCTAAGCAATAATAGACTCATTAAAGGCTCGTTTACATATGTTTTTTTTTTTTAATTTTTTGTTGGAATTATTTAGTTTTTGGAAGTATAAAATAAAAATGTAATGATTTACAACGAGCCTGGCGAACTTGCAAGCGAGTTTGATAAGATTTTGAATATGAATTCAATTTAATTTCTTAAACGAGCCGAGTTGAGCCTGAACTGATTTTTTGAGCTCGTCATGAGCTCAAGCCAAGTTATAAACAAAAGATCCTGTGCTTGAACAGCCTAAAGCTCAGCTCGGCTCAGTTTGTTTCCGGTCCTACTTTTAGGTCTAACTTATAGGTTAGAGGTAAGGATGCACACGATTCAGTTTGGACCGATTTAAGAGTTTTTTAGAACCAAGCCAATTCTAACAAATTCATAAAATTTGGAACCAAATCGAACTATTTGACCAAATGAACCAAACCAAACCAAATCGTGAAAAATCGGTTCGGTTCGGTTCGGTTCGGTTCCTCTCCTTTTTTTTTCTTTTTTTTTTATTGTTACAGAAGTATTCATATTATCCACATGCACAACAATAAACCAAGTTACCAACATATTCAGAACTTTTAATTCATTTTCTATCACTTCTCGAAATGAAATAAATAAATTCAGAATTAATTGGTAATAACCTATTACATTTAGAATTACTAATTTAACAACAATCAATCAACCACAATTCAATTCCGTCACTAAAAAAAAATATTATCTAATAAATTGATAAGACCTAAAATAATTAATAGTTGACCATATAATCGATTGATAGTTGCTATAAACTTATGAGTGATTTGAATTGTATGATTATATTATATATATAACATAACGGTTCGGTCTAGTTCGGTCTTAAAGGATATCAAACCGTGACCAAATCGTATTTTGATGGTTTCACAAATTTAAAATCATGACTGAACCAAACCAAACCAAAATGTCCGGTCCAATTTGATCTGGTTTGGATTTTAGGTTTGACCGGATTTTTATTCACCCCTCGTTAGAAGAGCTAGAAGAGCATTGTTATATATATATATATATATGCATGCATGTATGCATATATGCATTTGCACGTGCATATGAATGGAAAGACACATTCTAGGCAGTACATGGTCTACAGCTGTGGAGACGAGGCAGGTGGAATGGGGTCCAAAGCATATCTTGTTTTCTTAATGTGAGGGTAAAAGAATCAACTAAAACCTTATAAAGTCATTTATGTGACAACACCATATATAGAGACATTAAACACAGAGAGAGCAAGTCACTCAACAAATGTTCATTAGTCTTACCAAATAACCTAATCTCCAGTAGTGGGGCATAAACAAATCAAGATGATTATAAATGAAACTTTTCTAACTGCTCATCTCCTTGTATTTAATAGCTATTTTTAAAATTAATTAAGAATTATATAAGGAGATTGAAATCTTAGCTAATTTCGTAATATCTATTTTTCTTTTTCTTTTTTTATATTTAATTAAAAAATATGTCATACCGATAGTGGTCACATAAATCTCTTTGTTTATTTTATTCTATTATACAATATGTCTCTTCTAATATATATACTGTATGTGAAGTCACTGATGGATTTTGTAAGGGGCTTGAAGAAAAATACTTTACAAATAAAATAATAAATATAAAATTTTAATTTTTTTTGGTTTTTCCGACACTTGCGGAGCTGTGTTCAACATGTGCTGGTGTTAGACCCAAATTCTATGATCTTTTAGTGTTGTCCGTGTTTTCAAGCTAGATTACCATGGATATGGGGTAGTAGAGGGTGAAGAAATAAATAAGCCGATTTACTTAACTTTCTTTTGGATTAAAAAAATTTGTGGACTTTCTGGAAGAAAAAAAAAAAATAGAAAAAGAAAAACGAATCTTGGATGCAAGAATGTATAGTGAGGTATTTTCAAAAATTGGGTGGGAAAATGAGAGTGTGTGAAGTTCTAGTTCAAATTTTTTGTTCTTGCCCATTAAAGAAAAAAAAATGATGTGTTTTGTCTTGCACGTAGTGAGTCCGGATCTAGAGTGACTGAATATATAAGACTGCTAGGATTTGCAGTGTGGTTACAAGAGAACAATAGTAGTCGAAACAAAGAGAGACAAAGGGTTAGAGACTTAGAATTTGTGATCTTCATCATGAGAGTTATTTGTCAGTATTCACTGTGAATGCAAATTATACGCCAAGCAACACAAATCTTTGTACATCGTGTGATCCATAATTTTTATTTTTTTATTGTATTTTAATTATGTTCTTGATTTTGCTTTTATTTTGTTGTGACAGTTTTTAATTTTTACTATTATACACCATGTCTATTATTAGCCACTCTTGACTTCACTCCTTCATAGATCTCTCTCAGACAAGTGAGAATCAGTCCCCCTCCCCAAGTCCAAAGAACCATTTATAAAAAATATATGAATAATATATTTAGACATAATAAGGACAACTTTAAGTTTAATCAGATTTCTTTTACATTGAGACAAATGAATAATCTAATAGGACTACTTAACCAGAGACTAGAGTCATCAATCTGTTCACATTAAATTAATTAACCAAATAACAATGAAAGTGTAGCAATTGAATATCTTGGATTATTCCTTTCTTTTGATATTGTGATTTTAAATATTTGACAATATTTTTACGAGCAAAGAATAATAATAAATAATTCAAAAATCAGATTCAAATGTATCCGATTATTTTAAATC